CTGGGTCCAGGAGCATCTTAAATGTACGACACAGCAGCACCTCCCTCTGTTCAGTGTAGGTACAGCTAACAATACAGGACACAAGGACAGAAAGAATACACAGAAAGGGGGAATAAAGATAGTAGGAATGATGCACGTATTTTGGCAAAAAATACGTGTGGGGACGTTATGAGATGATCACAAGCTTTTAGAATTGTATTTCTGATGTTCTATACCTTTAGGAGTTGAATATGTGAAAACAAGCACTGGTTTAGGGCATATAAAGCTTCTGTGTTTGGCCATAAATGTAGGAAAGTAGGGAATTGTGGATGAATGAAGCCCCTGTCAAGCTCCTAGGGGCAATCATACCATGTCATGTTTTCATTCAGCATTACCGACAATGTATTATCTAGTTGTTTTACACATTTTTTTTAAACAATTTCCAAAATAAATATCAACAGCACAAAGGTCTGTCATGTTTGTATTAGTGGCTATAGTTTTAAAAGTGAGGACTGATATAAGAGCCAGTCTGTAGGCACAGGTCCCAGTATTGTTTCATATCTCTGGATTACATTTTGTTTCTATAAAGCAATAAAATAATCAAAGTCATCAAATCAGTGGGCCTTTTCAAATCTCAGTGTTCTCCTGCATTTGTTTTATATGCCTTTTCATCATATGCACAGATGACTGCCTGAAGTGAAAGGCTGCAGACGTGGAATGGTGTAAAGGAAGGTCTGAGAGTCAAAGAGGGAGGATCAGGACTTGGCGATGCCAGCTGATTGATGTCCCTGTGGGTGTGGTAAAATGGTTATGATGGATAGGATGGGAAGTGACAACTAAAGACATTAGTTTGGGTTTTTGATCAGCAGCCATGATACTGAGAAGGTGAAGTAGTGTCATGCATAGCACAGGGACTGGGTGGGTGGTGATACTGAAAGCAAGGTGAGTGACATGCCGGTGGACCAGAATTAATGTTTGGAGGCAGCCCTGGCTTTATCCAGTATCCAGCAAACTCCAGCAGTCTTCCCTCTCCCCCTTTTCCTCTAACACCTCCCTAACATAGTCTGTGGGTGGTGCTGTTAATAATGTGGCAACTAGGAAGATTAATTGTGGGCAAGCAGCAGGATTAGCAGGGGCTTTTTGAGGCCAAGCAGGCCTGACAAGGCCCAGGCTTGTGATCTTTCAAGCAGGCCAGGAAATGAGGCAAGCACAGCACAGCCCTGGCTCAGAAGAGTACAGAGACAGATCAAACAAAAAGGGTTCACAATCCCTGTGCTATTTCCTGAGTTGCTCTCTCAGCTCATAATCATTGTCATAGACAGACTCTTTGTGTGTTCATTATGACAGCCAATATCAGTTCTTTTGGTGGTGATAGTTTTGGTTTAGGAGCTCTCATTGGCCCATATGAATACCAGATTTTTTTTTACCTCAGTTGGGAAAAAGCCTTTGAGTACACTTTGTTCTTGTTTTGGGTTATCTTACTTCTTCTATTACAAATTCCACACAAGTACAGTATACAAGCAGGAAGCAATCAGTGAAATTTTTAAACAGGTTTCAGCCACTCCAGAGGCTGAGAGCAGCAGGTCTGCTGTCAAAACAATATTTCTATTCCAGGCTGTTTCTTTTAAAACCTCCAGCATGTATGTAGTTAATAGACTGACTTTGCAATTTTTCTCTTTGGTGTAATATGAGACACATGCTGGCCAGACCTTAATGCCTTTCAGAGATTCTATCTGAAAGCACATTATGTGATCATTTTCAATTCAGAATGCTCTCTTTGCCCATGAAGAATATGGTTCCATTTAAAAGTGTAGACCATTCCATTTTTCAAGGTTATGCATGGGCATGTAGAGGAACAACAATAAAAGTGGGAAAAATGCAGCTCCAAACCATTTCTAATATGTATTTGTCAGTTGAGTCTCTTGCTATGATTAAAGGTCTAGTGAATTCCTTCCTGCAGCAAGGAAAGTATTTCTGCAAAGACATCAGATATCGCTGTGTCATGATAAACTGCTGCTCCACTAGCTAAAAGACTAAGCAAAGGAAGAGGATGTTTTGGACCTTGCAAGTGCACGAAAGAACAACATAAGAAAGTCTTGACCGGCTCGGGAGCATGCTCAGAGATTCAGGCCTCTGTTTTCATTTTGCCTCAAAGCAGCAATTGTCACACTTGCTTAGCTTGAACCTCTGACTATGCTTACAATCAATAGCTCATTCTAATTGCGCAGCCAGGGATCTACAGACATATTTCCCTCGCATTTCAATTGCAGTATGTGATATTAAATGAGATACCATTTAGATAGTGTTTAAAAGGCAAATTGTATTTTCCTTTTTTAAAGCCAGTGTAGAAAGGTCATTTTGTGCCAGACCGCCCTCACATAACCGCTGTTCAGAGTGAGTGACGTCTGACCTTTACTTGATCACTAAAGGTCATGATTGAGTGAAGGTTAAGACTTCCCCTTCCCAAGCAGGTAGTAGATCAGATCATCAAAGCCAAGCCTAAAACATGAGAAGTAATAAAACATGACATACCACATTAACTCATAAAAGAGGAGCAGCATTCCCCATACCAATTCCATAGGATTTATGACACTCACAGTGAGCTACAGTGATACGTGTCATTTTCAGACTTACCAAACTTTTTTTTTCCTTTTGTGTATTTCCTTTCACCTAGCCACATAATGCGGCTGGATCTGAGAGCGACCCACTACCCTACACTCCTCTACCACAGGGATCCAGAGATGCCCGGAACCACAAAGGTGAGAAAAGTCCACACATAACACTTTATTGATTAGCTTAAAAATTGGAATAGCATTAAAAGTGAAACTAATAAACATAAGTTCACACATGAAACAGTTTGCAAAATTTTACATATTATCAAATCAAATCAAATTTTATTTGTATAGCGCCAAATCACAACAAAAGTCATCTCAGGACACTTTACAAAGTAAGGTCTAGACCTTACTCTTATCAATATTATTACATAGGGAAAACCCAACAAATCCCCCTTGAGCAAGCACTTGGCGACAGTGGGGAGGAAAAACTCCCTTTAACGGAAGAAACCTCCAACAGACCCCGGCTCTTGGTGGGAGAGAGGACACACTACGGGAGAGAGGAGACACAGAGTTAGTGATGTGTAATGGTGGCATATAGAAGCATAGGGAGAGAGAGGGGAGGAGAGGAGAGGAGAGGAGAGGAGAGCAGGAGGGGAGGGGAGAGAAACTCAGAGCATCATGGGGCCCCCAGCAGCCTAGGCCTATAGCAGCATAACTAAGGGAGGGCTCAGGGTCACCTGATCCAGCCCTAACTATAAGCTTTATCAAAAAGGAACGTCTTAAGTCTAATCTTAAAGGTAGAGAGGGTGTCCGCCTCCCGAACTGAGACTGGGAGTTGGTTCTATAGGAGAGGAGCTTGATAGCTAAAGGCTCTGCCTCCCATTCTGCTTCTGTGGACTCTAGGAACCACAAGTAAACTTGCACTCTGAGAGCGAAGTGCTCTGTTAGGATGATAAGGCTCTACGAGGTCTTTAAGATACGATGGAGCCTTGTCATTAAGGGCTTTGTATGTTAGGAGAAGGATTTTAAATTCTATTCTGAATTTTACAGGGAGCCAGTGGAGAGAAGCTAATATGGGAGAGATATGATCTCTCTTGCTAGTTCCTGTCAGTACTCTGGCTGCAGCATTTTGGATTAGCTGGAGGCTTTTTAGGGAATTATTGGGATATACTTATAGTAAAGAGTTACAGTAGTCCAGCCTGGAGGTAACAAATGCATGGACCAGTTTTTCAGCATCACTTTGGGACAGGATGCTCCTGATTTTTGCAATATTGCACAGGTGAAAGAAGGCAGATCTAGAGACTTGGATTTTGTGTGATTTAAAGGACATATTCTGATCAACGATGACTCCAAGGTTCCTCACAGTAGTACTGGAGGCAAGAGCTATGTCATCTAAAGTAACTATATGATTAGACAGCAGATTTCTAAGGTTTTCAGGCCCAAGCACAATAACTTCAGTTTTGTCAGAGTTTAGAAGTAAGAAGTTGCAGGTCATCCAGGCCTTTGTCTTTAAGACATGCTTGAAGTTTGACCAGCTGACCTGATTCATTTGGCTTCATAGATAAATATGATAAATGGTAAATGGACTGTATTTTTATAACTATAATATAACTGAGTATCATCTGCATAGCAATGGAAATTTATGTTGTGCTTCCTGATAATATTGCCTAAAGGGAGCATGTATAAAGTGAAGAGAATTGGACCTAACACAAAGCCCTGTGGAACACCGTGACTGACTGAAGGGTTCGGATAATTTAACTATGGTCAAAGGTAACCATAGTAAACTAAATATCTATAGTAGCTTGCAAAAAAATAATAATTAGGGTCTTCTTCATTGTAAATTCTAAGTTTGTTTTAATGTTTGAATGTGTCATTAAGTTTAATCAGGCTTCAGTTAACCTGACTGATTGTCAGGCTGGTGGAGTGGTTTATGCACGATTCAGTAGTTTATCTGGAGTCAGGCTTTTTACAGTAAACACCTCTTTTCTTAGGAAATAAATAACCCTTCTCTTCTTATGCTTGAGACGTTCACTCTCTTCACATTACAAGACACTTGGGACGAGTTAGCCACTATTGTAGTAGCACAATGGGTCAACAGTTATCCTATCTGCCCTAGATACACTAGAGTAGACCCCTGGCCCATAGCCCCCATTCATTTGTGCAGTAGTTCTGACATTCACCCTGTCGGCTGCACAGAAAGAACCTCCCTTTCCTTCTATCACCCACCCCCTCTGCCGTGTCACCTGTGGAAGCCCCAGAGCCTGGATGCCAGAGATAATTACTGCAGCTAGGAGCTTCCAGAGGAGGTTGACACTGGCAGGGCACTGCCCAGGGAGAGAGGGGTGGAAACCAAGGACAGAACTCCAAGATAAGCTTCTGTCCTGGTTGGGTGGAGGCGTCTCTCTGTTGGAGACAGAGTGAAACAAGGCAGCAGGAAAGGAAAGTGGAAAGATGTGCTGTTGTGGTAGTGAAATGTAAATCAAGATTTTATAGACCTGACAACAGATAGATAGAACTAGTGAGGAAGATAAAGGCGAGAGGGGAGAGAGACAGTAAGAGGATCAGCATTAAACAGGAAAAGAAGATGAGAGTTAAAATGAGAAAGAGCTAGACAAAGACAAAGTGAAGGAGGATGGTGGTTTGTTCCAATGTGTCTTGGTGGAGATGTAACATAGAGTGGAGTGGAGTATATAGTTTGGCAGAGGGGCCTGAGGATCCTCCACTACTGTCACCTTGGCTCTAACTCTCAGTGCTGGTCCAACTGTCAACTTAGCTCTAAATCTAACAGTCCAAAATGGAGTCCCAACCTAAAGTACTGTCTCTTCACGAAGACTGGCCTATATCATAAAGCCACAGCCAATGACATATTGCATTTTTGTGCCATATCATTTCAGCATGCAAAGCAGTATGCAGAGTTATTTATTATTAGCTTGTCATTTCCTTAGGATGACACATTTTGAAGTGAGATTCACATTGTTTTTTTCATAGATCTAATTATAACTTTAGTTCAGAAATATGTAGAAACAAGATGCCTTAGATTTGATTGATATATCCATGTGCAGAGAGGAGATTTTAATGAAATACCTTTTATTTCCCCTGTATATTTCAATAAATATGCCAGGCACTTGTAACTGCATATCAGATTAAACTAGAGTAGGCCATCCCTCAACAGTGACAGTATAAATGAAAGGGATATACTGATATCTTTGTACAAGCAAAGTAAACAAAGAAACATGCCTGAAATATGCCTTACAGTATGAGCCCTGGGCCCTTTCTAATCTTGTTGTTTCCAGCTACTTTGTATGTATGTCTCTTAAATGGTGCACAACTGTTATTAAAATCCCAAGAGGAAAGCAGCATTCAAAGCAAAAAAAAAAAAAAAAAGTAACAACTTCGTTCTGACGACACCCATGGGGTGCCTCAGATTTGTTTGGCAGTTCGTTTTCATTATGTCGGGGTAATCTACACCACAACTCCTGCTACACTCCCTCTAGCTCCCAAAGCCCCCCAAAAAATGGAGAAGCGGGAACAGATCCAAACTAAGAGTAGACTGTTTTACAGTTGCTGCACAACAAATAAACAAACATCTGGAAGCATTCAGAGCAGCCCATTAGAAGGGCTCTAGGCTTTGCCAAAAAGGGGTAAATGATGAGGAATGGGCTGTCGAGAGGCTGGTGGAGACAGGGGAGAGGCCAGATGACGGAGCTGTGGGTGCTAAGCACTGCCTTTTAGAGCTCAGCTGGGCTCAGAGAGATCTACACCTGCTGCTATCTCCTCCTCCCCTCCTCTCCTCCACCAGACATCTGGATGGGATACATGAGTAATGGATGACAAAACTGCTAGTGTTGAAACTTAGCTGTTGTCATTATGAAGGGAAAGGTTGTTGGTTTGACTGATGACTTAACGTTCTTTAGTAAAGCTAAAAGTGAGTTTGACGGCTTTAAAAAAGTTTGTGTCAAAGCAGATATACAGTTCCCCAGTGTCTGTTTATGGTTGCTTGTATAACAACCAGAGCTGATTATATTATTTATAACTGCATAGCTTAGATTTTGTTGTGAATACAAATATTAACTTTTTCATGAAGTCCTACTATTTAAAATGAACATATGTTCTGCCGCTTGCGTAATTGTTTGGTAAATTAGTTAATACATTACCTCAGACATCTGTTTCTTTACTCCCCATTTGTTTTCCATGCTTATCTTGAGTGATACCTCAGTTCTGTTTGATGTCACGCTGTAGTTAGAATGAAAGCTCTCATCTTTCTACTGATGGTCTTCGCATACTGGTTTGGACCGCCTTGGCGGGTTCCATGAGTATGGAAATGTCCTCTGTGGACTGTGGCGAGAAAAGACAGAGCACCTTTGACGTATCCCATTAAACACATGTACGTGCTCTGCAAGACGTTTCACTCAGCCTTATAATGATTATACCAGCAGGATCTGTCCCCTGATAAACATCACTCTTAAAAACAAAGGCTTGTGCTGGCCCCCGCACAAATAAAATGAGGCATATGGAAAAATCGAAGTAACCTTTTCCTTCTCCTGGTCCAGAGTAGCATTTACAGAACTGCTTTCTGTAAATGTTTGTAATAAACCAGACTATAGACAGTGCATGCCTTCAACACCTAGAAATGAGAGATAATGAATTAGTATCATAGAGAATGATACACATAGATCTGCTGCCAGCTATACAACATGAGAGAGCCTCTGCACTGAACTCTACAAGGTGAACTAGCAAAGTAATGATATGGCCTTCTTCCCAGATGTTAAGCATGTTTGCTGAACATTCATCACTTGAAAGTTTTATTTCTTTGCAGTATTTACCAGATTGTGATCTGATGAGGTGTCTAAGAGTTGTTTCTTTTTGTTGTCTCTGATACTGTACTGTACTGGATATTTATTGATTCATGTATTTTCATAGCCAATAATTAAGTAGGGTTTATAGATTTATATATATGATAACATACTTTGTAGTTCTGTGGGTGTGTGTGTGTGTGTGTGGAGACACTTGTATATGTCATGTGGTTGTGATCCACTCGCACAGAAACAGGACACTAATTGCAATATCTGTTTCATAATACTGTACATGTTTTTTTTAACCCAGACTTGCAGTGACTGAACAAAAACCTGAGAATTCAGACACAGTCATATTAATCTATTCTTTGGCACATTAGCTTCTGCTGGATATCACAGCACATCACAGTG